CATATATATATACATACATATATTATATATATATACATATATATATATATTATATATATATATATATATATATATATATATACATATATATATATATGTATATATATATATATATATATATATATATATATTATGTTGGTCGGATTTGGATGTTTTTTGTTATCGTTTGAGCAATTGGTTACTCTTGGTTTAGATGTTAGGGCTTTGTTGTGTTTAATAGAAAATGCCTCAATTGTGTTGTCTCTATTTTATCTTTTGCACCATGTTGTACTTCGCGTGCACCAAATTGTAATATTCCCATTGCAATGATTTCTCCCAACTTTTTTGATTCACCATGTCATCTATAATTGACTTGCTCCCAGTATGAGCTAGTTGTGTAATATCCCATATGGTCAATTAGCTGGTAAGACGATTTTAACTATACTCCTTTTTGAAAAAAGATGGATATTTTGAAATTGTCACCTATGCAAATCCGGATTCGACCCATATCACATATTCTTCTTGGGTTTTATAAATTATTTTTTTTCTATGATATTTTCTCTAGAGCCTTCCTTTCAATGTCGAACTGAAATAATTAAATTTGGTTCGCTTGACATGATGAAACTGATCCGACATAGTATATTTGTAAAGTATTATCGAATTTAAATGAGGAAAAGAAACTCGATTGTTTTAAGAAGAATTTTATTTATTAGTAAAAAATATTTGTATCCCACACCCCATATCTTGAATTTGAGGGTGAAGAATGCATGTACCCTATATCTCAATTCTGTTCAAGGGCAAAAAATGATTGTCTCATATCAAGCTTCCTACATTACTACTATGCTAAGGGTTTGTTTAGTAAAATCCTTTTAATGATCAAGTCATTACTTGTTTGTTTATTATGACTAAAAATACACGTTCAGAATAGAAATATATCTGGCGATCTTCTTTCCATTTTGTGTGGTGTAACCATATGCTTATTGATGGAATATTCCTTTTTGGATCTCCTACTGGTATGACATGTTCAGTGTGCATGTTATCATCAATGGATTAATTGGGTTTCATATATTGGTTATTAAAAAATAATTGACCTTATCATCGTTAATTGAAACTGATGTGTAGTATATTTAATGACTAGTGTTGCGACAATGAGCAATAGGTCGTTATTGAAGGACACAACTTACCTGATTGGACGGGTTTGATCGAGTTGAGTTGGAATTTGATGCACACATGATTATCCACATGTTTAGTTGTAAAATTTATCCCCATGAAAAATATTAAATATTTTTAGGAATATTTTTACTGTGTTGAAATCCTTCTCTGAATTTAAATTATCATATTTATAGGGAACGTGTTAGCGTGAATTTTGGTCATTAGTTTGACTTGAATTGATACCACATGCTTTGTTTTTTCTTCCAAATCTTATTGCGTTTAGAGTTAGATAAGAAGTATGATCCTATGAGATGACTTGGTTGGAAGATGAAGTTTTCATGTGTCCAAGAAGGATTCAATGTGTTCAAAATTTTCATTTAAATGATTCATGCGAGACTTGCAGTGCGTCCATTTCATGTTGAAGTTAGTTCATGAGATAAATAAAAAAATTGAAAGTTGAATGTGTTTTGAAATTTTGGTATGAGAATAAAAAAGCAAACATTTTTTGTTATAATATATTGATTCTTTTATGATTCCAAATGAACATATTCAAATTCAGAAAAATTTCTTTTTTTATTCAAGAAAAATAAAAAGACAAGGGGATTGATTAAGAAAGATTTTTTATTCTTATTATAAGATTGTAATTTAATCAACATATATTTGGTAAAAAGAATAATTTTCTCCTTTGATCGTAAAAAGAAAGTTTACAATTGAAACATTAAAATGTGATGGAATTGGTCTTATTAGTTACTCTTCAGGACAAAGTGAAATCTTTTGGGTACTAAAGATTAGTGTCTTAATCAGAGAATATTCTTTAAATATCATGTTTGATGTTATATGTCTAATTAACACATCGCGTGTGAATTGAGTGTGGATAATTATCATATCAGAAGATAGCCAATATTTCAATTGGTCACTGAATTTTACAAGGTCCAATTTCATATGACAATTGGACTGAGATTTGTGTGTGTGTGTGTATGTGTTGCAGGACACAAGATATTTTCGGATTTTGAAGTGGATTGGAGACCTTTTACGTTTAGCAGATGTTGATTGAATCAGAGCAACTGGCTTCTATCGCACATCGTCCATTGGAGCCCCTCAACTCGGTAAAGCTCCTTTCCAAAACCAGCCTTTGAGAAAAGAAATAAGCAAATCATTTCTTTTCCAAAAAATAAAAAAAACAGATCTAATTAAGGACCAACAAAACGAGTGCATGGTGTTCCCCAGCAGCATCGGATTATATTAGAGATCAAAAGGGAAATCAAAATTCCATATACAAGTGAATTGAGAGATTCTGATGTAGAATTCATTTGGCAGCCAAGTTCACTTCTCTAAACACGTGTTCAAATTGGAGCAGAAACAGTAATTTTGATAGCTTCTATAAAATCATGCTGTACTCTAACAACACATGCTGCACTCTCACAGCATCGAAAGAAGAAGGAAATCATCTAATTCCTTTTCCTACAAGACAGAAACACCCAACCACCCTCCAAACAGACCAATCCTAATCATGGATCAAAGATCTACAGGGCAAGTATTTATGACGACGAGGAAGCCCAATTAATTAACACACCACGGAACTTCAATTTTTAAAATCCAACTCAATGGGAGTTAAATGTGGTTCATCCTTAACACTTCAGAACAAAAAATCCAAGTCTTTTTTTTAACTTTCTGATAAATGGAGGATCAAGATACTGGACATAATTAGAACTATTTGAATGGTAGTGACTAGCATACATTGAGACAATATTTTATGAACTGATGTGAATATCTTGGAAAAGTGACTGTAAAAAGAAGAAATTTGTACAACTAAAAATTAAAAAAAAGATGGCCATCTTGGAAAAAAAAAATTATCCATATGTTACATGAATAATATAGGTTCCAAAAAAAAGAGATCAAGATTCTATATCATCTAAAAAAGAGAATAGTTAGAATAACTTAACACAATATGCCTTGTTCAAGTCACATGGATTTCTTAAGCATGTCTAAAGCCCGCAAAAAGGCCGCTGACAGCAATCCGGTCCACCAAAGTCCGGAAAAAGGCCACTGTAACACCCGATGGAGGAATTGTCGACTTTACTTGCGCATGCAATTGCCAGATGTAGGAGAAGCACCTCAAGCATATTTGGTGAATTGAATTAGCAATTATCTACGAGCATACGTCTGCTGGATGTCATATTGACCATGAGGAACAGCTGATGATCCAAATTGAGGGTCATTATCAACGGTTCTCTGAACCTGAGAAACAAAACGACATGTACATTCATTAAATTGTGAAAACAGTACACCAAACTTGCAATCATTCACCGTAGTGTCACGAACGGTCATCGCGCACTCGCAACAACTTCGTTCAACAAACTGTTTGTCGCTTTTGCATGCTTGTACAAAGACATGGCAATCTGTTTTACCTTGGTTTTATGTGTTTTTGCTTGTAAAAATCTATGTTCGAACATATTGCAACGCTGCAATGCGACTGCTCACCGCACCGGGCCAAACTACCCCAAAATGGCTCCGTTTTAGCGTGCCACGGCTTGTTTTCTACAAGCCGTAGTAGCACCCTAAAACGTCAGCTATCTCAGCACCCTAGAACCCCCCGGGTGACATAGGGTTGGATGGGGCTTCGGTATATTGTCGAGTGTTGAAAAATCTTCACAAGTTCACACGTTAACTTGACGGGAACTTGCCTTCGCGCCCGGCACCCGGTGAGCAGTTGTTTGTGGACTTGAAACTATTTGTTCTACCTACTAAAGTCCTTGTTTTCCTCCTTCCTCTCTTTTCTCTTATGCAAACAAGGTGCTCGTTGAATTGCTTGTAAAGCTTCCACTTCCGTGAGACGTCGGGACTTATCCATCGCTCGTTTTTGAACGAATTAACTTTTTCTTTTACAGGTCCTTAGGGACCCGAGTGAGGTTGCAAATTGGCTGACCCTTTGCAGACGCATATCGCAAGGGCGCGTCATGGCTTAGGCAATCCCAGCTAAGGCCGAGAAGTTGGCGCGAGGGTGCTTCGCAACTTAGGCAACTCAAGCTAAGTTCGCGTCTTGGGCACAAGGGTGCCTCACAACTTGAGCAATTCCAGCTAAATCCGTGACATTGTGGTATCAGAGTGGGCAAGCAATTCGAGCAAGCAACGAAGGAACTTCACAATCTCGCCATGGCAAAACATCATGGTGAATCAAGCAAGACGAGGCACGTCGGACCCTTGCCCCAAGCAGCCGCAGGTGGGCTGCAAGTGCATACTCACTCTCATGTTGTTGGAGCCGCTCAGGAGGGGCACGACAGCGAACATGATGAGCGAGAAGTTGGTTACTCTCCGCGAGCGGAGGAGGTGCAATCTGGAGCGCCAACTAGGAAAAAGAGTCATAAGGAGAGACTCATAGCGGTGGAAACCCACTTGGATGTTCTTGGAGCGAGCTTGGAGGAACTCTACCATGGCTAACGAAGGCTTCTTAGGGTAGAGAGCTCGCAAGAAGAAGTTGAATCCCAGATCGACAAGATTGAGGCCCTAGTCGATCGACTATCAGACGACACCAAAGACTCTGTGCAACATCTGCACGAAGTCATGGCAGAACTCACTTCCAAAGTGACTATGCTCACAAGGGACTAAATGCGGGAGGGAGCAACACCCGCGTTATGCCACCACAAAACTTGAGAGCACCTGAGCCGCATTGTTATGGGGGTGCCAGAGATGCTAAAGAGCTGGAGAATTTCCTATTCGACATAGAACAATACTTTCGAGCTACGAGGCCTGATTCTGAAGAAACCAAAGTTTCGATAGCAACCATGTATTTGAATGGGGATGCAAAACTTTGGTGGCAAACCCGTTGGGAGGAGATCCAACAAGGTCGGTGTCGGGTGGACACATGGGAGGACTTGAAGCGGGAGTTGAGAACTCAGTTCCTACCTGAGGACACAAAGTTCGTCGCAAGGAGGAAATTGAGACAACTCCGCCAAAGCACTTCCATTCGAGACTACGTGAAGCAATTTTCTGTACTAATGCTGGACATACAAGACATGTCCAAGAAGGATAAACTGTTCAGTTTCCTCGATGGTTTAAAGCCATAGGCTCAACAAGAACTGCATCGAAGGAATGTCACCGATGTGATCGGGGCAATTGCGGCCGCAGAAAGGCTCACCGACTTTTTTTCCTCTAAGGACTCAAGAAAAAGGAAACAAGCTTCAGAAAATCGCCCTCCAAAATATTCTCGAGGGAAGGAGCTCGGGGGCGAGCAAAGGAAGAAGAGCTCCCACAAAGGGCCAAGCTCAAAAGATAAGGCCCCAAAACCTAGCGGATGCTTCTTGTGCGGAGGGTCGCACATGGTGAGAGAGTGCCCACAAAAACAGACACTCAATGCTTTAACAATTTCCATCCATCCCCCCAAATCAGACAAGGGCAAAGTTGTCGCCCTCAGTTCAAGTAGTTCTGAATCCAGCAGCGATGATGAGGAGTCGCAAGGTCCCCGAATGGGAGCAATACGTTTGTTGAATGCATTGTGGGGTCAAGTGGGGGAAAACATGAAGACAAAGCCATTGAAAGCAGGGAGTAGCGAGCTGATGTACGTGGACATTAAGCTCAATGACCAAACAACCCGTGCAATGGTGGACACGAGCGCTACCCACAACTTTATTGCCGATTGAGAAGCAAAGCGACTTGGGCTGATCTTGGAGAAGAACCCAAGTCGGATAAAGGCGGTGAACTTGGAGGCCAAGCGGATCTCCGAGCTGGCAAAGGGTATCCCCATCAAGATCGGAACATGGAGCGGGAACATGAACATGAAGGCGATTCCATTGGACGACTTCCAAGTGATTCTTGGAATGGAGTTTATGCACACGGCGAAGTTGGTGTTAATGCTGTTCCTAAATTCCCTATGTATGATGGGAGGTGACGACCCCTATGTGGTTCCCGTCTCTCGGAGAGGAACCAGAGACCCCCAACAGATATCGTCATTACAATTGAAGAAAGGGGTACGAAAAAACGAATTAACATTCGTGGCTACTATGAAGCTAGAGCCACTCGACGAGGTGGCCATTCATAAACCTATTGTGGTGGCGAACGTTCTGAAGGAGATCACAGACGTTATGCCACCCGAGTTGCCGAAGACTCTTCCGCCACGCAGAGGCGTGGATCATTATATCGAGCTAGAGCCAGGAGTGAAGCCTCCAGCGAGACCACCTTATCGCATATCCCCTCCAGAGTTGGCAAAGCTCATAAAGCAGTTAGATGAACAGCTAAGCGGTGGTCTCATCCGTAGTTCCAAAGTACCATTCGGAGCTCCAGTTCTCTTCCAAAAGAAACAAGATGGGAGCCTCCAACTATGCGTCGATTATCAAGCCCTCAATAAAGTGACGGTGAAGAACAAGTATCACATCCCGCTCATCACGGACTTGTTCGACCAATTGGGCAAAGCCAAGTATTTCTCTATACTTAACCCAGGTATGGAGCGTTTGAGTTCTTGATGATGCCTTTCGACTTAACCAACGCTCCGACCACGTTCTGCACTCTTATGAACCAACTGTTCAAAGAGTATTTGGATAAGTTTGTGGTCATCTACTTGGACGATATCATCGTCTACAGCCAAACGCTCAAGGAGCATGTCGAGCACCTTCGGACAATTTTCAAGGTTCTTAGGGAGAACACTTTGTTCGTGAAAAGGGAGAAGTGCTACTTTGCTCAAACGGAGATCTTATTCTTGGGGCATCGAATCAGTGATGGCTCCATTCGGATGGACAAATTAAAGGTACAAGCTGTTGTGGAATGGCGAACTCCAAAGAAAGTGCCGGAGCTGAGATCCTTCCTTGGTTTCGTCAACTACTATCGACGCTTCATAGCGGGGTATTCGACGCGTGCAACTCCACTGACGGAGTTGCTGAAGGAGTAGCCTTGGAGGTGGTCTGACAAATGTGAAGCTATATTCCAAGATCTGAAGGCGGCTGTGTTAGAAGAACCGGTTCTCAAATTTTCGGACTATGGGGAGCCCTTTGAAGTCCATACATATGCGTCAGACTTCGCTATTAGAGGAGTACTCATACAGGAGGGTCACCTAGTAGCCTACGAGAGCCGCAAGCTCAACAAGATCGAGCGGCGGTATCCGGTGCACGAGAAGGAGATGACAGCGGTGGTCCACTATCTACGAGTTTGGCGGCACTACCTTCTCGAATCGCGATTTGTGTTGAGGACAAACAACATTGCTTTGAGCTATTTCCAAACTAAACAAAAACTCTCCCCACAGCAAGCACGATGGCAGGACTTTCTAGCTGAGTTTGATATGGCAATGGAGTACAAGCTCGGAAAAGCAAATGTCGTGGCCGATGCATTGAGTCGGAAAGTGGAGTGAGTGAATGCTATACAATTGGAGGGCAGAGGCCAAGCAAGTCAATTGCACTCCAACTTCCTTTCCAGGATCAGGGATGGATTGTACAGTGATCCCCAAGCAGTAACCCTGATACAACTCATTAAAGAAGGCAAGACACGACGATTTTGGGTCCAGGAGAGACACATTTACACAAAAGGGAATAGGGTTTATGTTCCTCGAGTGGACAATTTGAGCCGTGAACTCTTAAGAGTATCATGATTCCCTTTGGGCTGGACATCTGGGTATTCACAGAACCTTGGCTCTCATGGAGAGGGCCTTTTACTGGCCGAAGATGGGGACTGATGTGAAGGAATATGTTCGAACGTGCCTCACTTGCCAACAAGACAAGATGGAGCAGCGGAAGCCGGTGAGACTTTTGGAGCTATTGCTCATATCAGAAAGGTCGTGGGAGAGCATTTCCTTGGACTTCATATCAAGCTTGCCGACAGTAGGGGAACTTGGATCGATACTCGTGGTGGTCGATCGATTTTCAAAGTATGCAATTTTCATTGTTGCACCCCTACACTGTTCATCAAAGGAGGAGGCCAAGCTGATGATGACGAATGTTGTGAAGTATTAGGGAGTCCCGTACAATATCATCAGTGATCGAGATGCTCGGTTCCTGGGACGATTATGGAACGAGCTATTCAAATTGTTGGGGTCTAAGTTATACTTCTCCACAAGCCTCCACCCCTAGACGGATGACCAAACTAAAAGGATAAACTCACTCCTTGAGCAATATCTTTGGCACTACGTGAGTGCCAACCAACAAGATTGGGTGAAGCTATTGAACATAGCCCAATTCTCCTACAACTTGCAGTGGAGCTCTGCGTCCAACAAGAGCCCATTCGATATCATTACAGGACAACAACCATCAACTCCTCATACCTTGGCTATTAGGTATACTGGAAATAGTCCGTCAGCATATCACTTTGGAAAAGAATGGCACCGAAATGTAGACATTGCGCGGGCTTACTTGGGAAAGACGGCCAAAAAGATGAAGAAGTGGGCAGACTTGGGAAGGCGACCGCAGGAGTTCAAAGTTGGCGATTTGGTGTTGGTAAAGCTCCAACTGGCATCACTCCAATTCTTTAGGAACAAAGTACATAAAAGATTGGTGCACAAGTATGAAGGGCCCTTCCCAATTATCAGTAGGGTGAGCAACGTCTCCTACAAGTTGCAACTGCCGACATAGCTCAAAATTCACAATGTTTTTCATGTCAACAACTTGAAAGCCTACCACTCAGATCCGTAAGATGCTTCCCGAAGTATTCCAACTCAGCTACCCCCCACCAGAGTCTCATACGAAAAGTGAGTTGAAACCATTTTAGCGGATCGGAAGATAAAACTACCCAATGGAGTTGAGCAGAACGAGTACTTGGTGAAGTGGCGAAAGCTTCCCCGAACCGAAGCCAGTTGGGAGCCCGAAGACGCCCTATGACATGAAGAAGCAGTCATCAACAACTACCAACAAACGTCGACGAGGGCGTCGATAGTTTAAGTGGGGGAGAATGTCACAACGGTCGTCGTGCACTCGCAACAACTTCGTTAACCGTTCGTCGCTTTCGCATGCTTGTACAAAGACATGGCAAACTGTTTTGCCTTGATTTTGTGTGTTTTTGCTAGTAAAAATGCATGTTCGAACAGGTTGCAACGCTGTAGTGCGACCATTCGCCGCGCTAGGCCAAACTGCCCCAAAATGGCTCCGTTTTCACTTGTCACGGCTTGTTTTCTTCAAGCCGCAGCAGTACCCCAAAACGTTAGCCATCTTAGCACCCTAGAACCCCCCGGGTGGCACAGGGCTGGATGGTGCTTCGGTATATTGTCGAACGTTGAAAAATCTTCACGAGTTAGCATGTTAATTTGACGGGAACTTGCCTTCGCGTCCGGCACCCGGTAAGCAGTTGTTTGTGGACTTGCAACTGTTCGTTCAACCTTCTAAAGTCATTGTTTTCCTCCTTCCTCTCTTTTCTATTATATATGCAATGTGCTCGCTGAATTGCTTGTAAAGCTTCCCCTTCCACGAGACGTCGAGAATTATCCGTCGCTCGTTTTCGAACTAATTAACTTTCTCTTTTACAGGTCCTTCAGGACCTGAGTGAGGTTGCAAATTGGCTGACCCTTTGTGGACGCATATCGCAAGGGCGCATCACGACTTAAGCAATCTCAGCTAAGTCTGAGAATTTAGCGTGTGGGTGCTTCGCGATTGAGGCAACTCAAGCTAAGTTCGCGTCTTGGCCGCAAGGGTGCCTCACAGCTTGAGCAATTTCAACTAAGTGCATAACAGTAGGACCATTAGATATTATTGAAATTGTTAATGCCAGCGAAGAAAAATATGGACATTCTTAAACTTTTATACCTTTACAGAACATGTCCTCTAGCAATTCAAACTTCTAGTACTTAGCACAGTATTATACATGAATATGAATATGTGGAATATGCAAAACCAAGCAACCTAAAAAACAAACCTGGTGGAAATTATGTGGGCCAGCAAAATTCGCTGCATAAGCCATCCCTGGGTTTCCATAAGTTCCAGCATATCCTGAACCTGAAATAACACCAAACTTTAGCTAAAGCTCTTCATTAAAGCATAAGAATTAGGAGAATTCCACCGGTTGGAAGATCATCGGAAGCAAGAGAACAAGCAATCTAAGAGAAAACAATCACAAGATACATCAACTATGTCAAAGTACCTGAGTTAGCTGAGGCCGCAGCCGCTACTTGTGCTTTCTTCTCCGTGTTGGCAAGTTCAGCATGTAATTTTTCAATCTCACGAGCCATCAACACCATATTATTTTCCATTATCTGACTCTGTTCGGTGTTATCAGCATGTACCTTCTTCTCAAATTCTATTGCAGCCCTATCCAGAATAAATAAATAAGGAAGAGCATTAGCAACACTAGCTAGAAATTCATAGAACTTAAAGAAATTGAGAACGAATACTGAAATTCAAACAAAGAATGGTATTCAGTAAATCACAACTGAAAGGGACGGAGAAGAGAAAATAAAAAAGAATCCAACATGCTGGGACGAAGCAGACAGCCCAACTATAGGACAAGAAGCTTTATTATGCCATACCAAAAGAAAATTGGTCATCTATAATCAGCTATCAATATAAAAGTAATTAACTAGATATTTGATCCTCCACCTGACTGCTTTTATGCATTCTGCTATCCCGCTGATCAATGGCAATCACAAAATCATTTTTATAATGTTTTTGATGAAAAGGCCTAGTGACCCATTTGCTAGTTATTTTCTTCTTCACCTGTTTCATATTCTTCCCACTTGTAAGTTTTCTTTCTCCCTACTATCCTTTTAAATTTTTATCCTCTAGGTTCACTCCCAATATATTGGACCCAAATTGGTTTGGTGATCGTAGTTCTTAAAACATAATTCTTCTTGGTTTTGATGCCGGATCCCACAAAACATCTAAAATAGAACAATGGCATCATCTTTCGGAGAACATAATCATTAAAAACGAAATTAAAAACAAGATGTTGAACAAAATAACAAAGAAGAGAATAAACACGATATAGAATCAACAAGGTCGAAGTAACAGCAACAAGGAAAATAAAATCAGCCAAAGATCAGGCCAACAACATAGAAGAGAAAAAGAGGAGCAAAAAGTGAAATTGAACATCATCACTGAACATATGATCTGATGAATAACAACAAAATAACAAATGGAAGAGGTGAAAGAAAGAGAAAAAAAAATGACAAATTGAAGAACAACAAAAAAATACAAGAAAATAATAGTTGGAAGCACTATAGAAGGAAGCAATAGAAGGAACAGAAGAATAGGCATATAGAAGAAAAGAAAAAGGGCATAAGCATAGAGCATGAGAGCAGCCATGTTTCTTTTTTCCTTCTTTAATGAACAAAACTCTTTTTTTTTCATGAGATAAAATATAATGAAGTATTTGCACCACATAATCCTGTAATTGGTACTCCTTCACATGGAGAAGTGTGCATCTTGATGTTGGGTGTCCTGTCATGCCGCCCAACAACTTCGATGTGGCTCATGGTCCATGCTTCTTGTTCAAGATTGAGCAACAAAAGTTCTGATTTTGTCCAGATAGTCAATATCACAGATAAGCTGCATCAAATCCTTAACAAAGGCAGATTGTTTTTCATTTTTGTTCACCTGTGATCCAAGTAACGTCACTTTTCTCCATTAGCACCTTAACTTTATCATTACTCACCTACAATTCCTGGCTTACTCAAATGTCACAGGTAAACGTCACATAATGATGCTAGTGATCTTTGTTCCATGGCCACTCTTTTGGTGAACAAGATACAGAAATAGCCCTCTGCTCACCACAAAATCATGTGCATCTTAACTAGCTCCTCTTATCATTCAACTTCTTGAGCAATTAAGTGCTCCGCCTCAGTTTCCCCCTTCTTCACACATGGTCACAAGCACTCCACTGCCTACATTCAACGTCATAGCACTCTACTCCTTTGCAAGAATAAATTGTAGATTAGCCATCGACCATCTCTTTGCTTTGTATTTTGCTCACCTACGATCACTTTGCCCATTCCAAGTTTTTTCAATTAGCACCTAAACTTTATCATTACTCACCTTGAATTCAGGGCATATTCAAATAACATAAGTATCATCACAAAATGATGTTAATAATCTTTTGTTCATGGCCGCTTAAGCTCCTAAAAGGCCCTCTGCTCTCTATGGCATCACATGCATCTTAATGGTCACAACCATTCTACTGCCTATTCCAACATCATAGCATTCCAACCTTTAGCTTTTTCGACAACTTCTCTGTGTCAACTACCAAGGCCCTGCCAACAAGCATTCCCTTCAGTCAACTTTGATGGCCTCAATGTTATATTCACCCCTGTAATTGAGCCTGTTGTTGTCCATTTTCAACACCATTGAGATCTTTAGCATACCTACTATATCATCAAGGACAAAGATTCACTGCCAAATATCGACTAATTACCTAATAGGTGCTCTAGACCAAGGATTGAAATATCGTACCATGCTAGAGTTTCGACATTCGCTCGGTATGATATGGTACTGTATACCGAACGGTATACCGTATATATATATATATATATATATATATATATAAAAGAATTTTTCGACAACGTTGCCGAGGCGACGCGACGTCGCCTTTTTCGACAACGTTTCCGAGACGACGTCGCATCGCCTTTTCCCGCTTGGGGAGAAAGAGGCGACGTTGCATATTTATATAATATATATATTATATATATTATACCGCTCGGTAGTGGGCGGTCCGTGTACCGGTCTGCTGACGGACCGGTACGTACCGCTCAATACGGACAGTATTATTCGAAATTGTAATCCTTGCTCTAGACCATCCACAAGATCAACATCAACAATGTTTGAATAGCGTAATCCCAAACAAAGATTACCCCTCATTCCTCAGTTTGTAGTTGTTCGTGCCCTCGCTGATTGGGGAGAAATAGGGCAAAGAATATGAATTAGAGCTTTGAGGCCTTTATTGTGTCTCATCATCTTAACCAACATCCAAAATCATAAGTGGGTATGGTTGGTAAAGTGACACTATTTGAACCATAGGTGGGTAATTTGTAGTTTATTCTAAAGGCAGCATTCATAAAAGAAAATATGTGCAGAACTAGAGAGAAGTGCCTTGGATTAAGATGGAAGCTAAGCTCATAAGCAAAATGGTACAAAACCAATCTCCAGGGACCTGTCTTAACTAAAACCTGTCAAACGTACTGAATCGAAGGCTAAGCTCACAAGTGGGTTGGCACACAAATCAATCATCACGTCGCACAGTACAGATATTATTTTGTCATAATTAAATCCATGCAATTTAGAAGGTTAAAGAATTCAATTGAATGTCAATCCTAAGTAGATTGTTAGGACTCTAGCTAGGAGAGTCCTAATTGAGAGAGACATTCATGTAAAACCTACCTAAGCCGACCCCTATTAAAGAGGTGAAGAGGCCGGCTAGGATTAGGAGGTTGTTTCTTAGAGATGAATTAGGAGTTGTAAAGGAATAGGAGTCTTGAGTAGAAGTCATATTAGGAGTTGGTTAGAAGTAGGAGTCTTGAGTAGGAGTCCTATTAGGAGTTAGGGTTTAGAAACCCTATAAATAGCCATGTATTCCTCCTCTTTTGATAAGCAATAGATGAATCTTTTCTGCAGCCTTTGAGCAGCAACTTGGAGGGAGGAACCCCTATAGAGTTCCAAGGAGGCCGATCCCCTAAAGAGATCAACCCCAAGTTTAGAATCTGCAAGGGTTCTAACACCTGGTATCAGAGCAGTGTTCTTGGCGTCTCGCTGCCCTTCCACAGCCATCCATCAACCCTCCACAACCGCCCAAAGCAATTCCCACAATTGCTTAAGAGATCGTTGCCAAATTCC